CAGCGATTCCAAATATGACCACCACTATAGTGAACGGTTTGATTATTTTGTGAGATACCTTGGCCCAATTAGGTCTGTAGTGTCTGATCAATATGCCGATAAACATGGGGAATGTAAGGGTTATCAATGATGTGAATAGATTTAAATACGGGATCTTTATGTTCCCGGCGCTGAATAGAGTGGAGCCCAATGTGAACAGCCATAGAGGCATCATTGCTATACATTTCAAAAAAAGACAAATTTATTGATTAAATATTCTATTTATTATTAATAATAATAGATAGGAATCAAGTATTACTTAAGAATATTGTATTAAAAAATTATGAATTAAATAATTAATTGTCTCTACATTTTCAAATTACATAAAAATGTTATTAATTTAATAATTGATTTCTAATCTAAACTAAAACATTATAGTTTGTTAAATATTATATTTCAAATTCTTTATAATGGTATGTTGTCATTGTAAATATGTTTTTAAGCTATAAATTAAAACTAATTTCATTGTGAAAATTAATTAATTGATTATGAGTATTTTAGACGATTTAATTACATAAAAATGTTTATAGGACCATTGTTCTACATTGTAAAAGTTTATCATTTAATTAATATTCTGTGAATTGACTATTTTTCTCATGAGTAATGGAAACGACAGACAAACTTCTTTTCTTAATAGAAAATTCAATCGATTAAACAGATTCTCGTATTTATATCTATTTGTTTCATACAAAACATATTTATTTTATTTCTGTATTTATGCCACTTTTTATGTCAGTTTTGTGCATTTATTTTATTGAATGCAGAATTGATTGTTTAATTGTATGAAATAAAATTCTCTTTCCATTTCATTTAAACCAATTCAATAAGAAATATATTTCAATAGATTTCTCTATAAGACTACTAAATGAAGAAATATTGTTTCAAATTATAAATTAAGATGTTGTTAACAGATAAGATAACAAATGTTAAACAAATTTTAATTCAATTNATGTCTAGCAATGATGCCTCTATGGCTGTTCACATTGGGCTCCACTCTATTCAGCGCCGGGAACATAAAGATCCCGTATTTCAATCTATTCACATCGTTGATAACCCTTACATTCCCCATGTTTATCGGCATATTGATCAGACACTACAGACCTAATTGGGCCAAGGTATCTCACAAAATAATCAAACCGTTCACTATAGTGGTGGTCATATTTGGAATCGCTGGAAGTGCTATACTCTATAACCACATATTTGTGATGTTCACGTGGCCCATCGTAATAGCCGGCGCTTTGGTGGCCATCAGTGGCTACAGTTTGGGTGCAATCATATCAAGTCTGTGCGGAATGAAGAGACCCCAAGTCGTGGCCATCTCTATAGAGACTGCTTATCAAAACGGAGGAATCGCTTTCATATTACTCTTACTATCACTACAACAACCGGACGCAGACATCGCGAGTGTCCCCTGTATTGCACAGCTATTAATCACTGGACAACCCCTTTGGCTCGTATTGATCGGAGTGAAGATCTGGAATCGCTTTCATCCGCAAAATAATGACAAATCGGTTGACAATAAAAACGACAAAATTAGTGAACAAACCGACAAAAATGTTAATAACTTAGAGAATGGCTGTTATGACGGCCCATATATCGACAAACCAAAGACTGATACTGAGCTGAATGCCAGTACTAATGGCACTCACGATATCACTAAATTTTAACAATTATACAAATTTTTAATTATTTGATAAATATTTAAATATTTATTGTAAGCTGTTTAATTATTATGACATTTTTACTTTTCCTATTTATTTCTGTGTTTTATACTTACGGGTAAAACATTTAATAAATAAAAAATAATTGAATCATTTCAAGGATTTGAAATCAATCAAATTCTATATACAATACATGTAGTTAAGATTTTTATTTAAAAATGATTAAAACTAAATCATTATAAAACATAACTTATAAATTACAAGGAAGTAATAAAACACAAGAATTTATGATAAATAACAGTTGAATGTACATAAATAAATGAAAGTAAAAACATAATGACATCAAATAATTAAGTAAAAAGTATTTAAATGACAATCTTAAGCGGCATTTCCTCAAATTTAATGCCAAATCTAATCCTAATCTCATTTTGAATTCTTTGAGAATAATCGTCCGAAATGAAGGAAACGGCGGCGCCTTTAGTACCGAACCTACCGGCCCGGCCAACAGCGTGTAGATAGAGGTCACTGGTCTCGGGCATATCATAATTAATGACCAGGTTCACTCTTTCAAAATCGACTCCTCTATCAAACATCGCGGTAGTAATAAGTGTGCGCTTTCGGTAATTCCTGAACATTTGATAATTATCTAATCGCACGGTTTGTGTTAAATCCGAGTGAATGGGAAGTACAGAGACACCCAAATTGTAGAGCAATTCGCACAAAGCCTTACATCTATTGATTCTTTGCACGAAGACAATGGCCTGTTTGTAGTCAGTGGTCGTCAGGATGTCATACAGTTGCTTAACTTTTGCCTTCTCTGTAATGCGGACACAGAACTGCTGGAGGCCGTGAAGAACTAGTTTACTGTCGTCGCCTATAATCACTTCCAACGGATTATTCATCAGAGTTTTAGCCCTAACTCTTAATTCTTGGGTAACAGTGGCGCTGAACATCATCGCCTGTCTGTTTTTAGGCAGATATTTATTAATATACAGCACGTCTTCCAAAGTGTTGGATCGCTCTGACAAACCAAACATTTTATTGAAAACATTATAAACAATAATTAAAAACTAGATTTAATTACCTTTCCGGTCGAGTATATGGTCGAACTCATCGATAATAAAGTGCTTGACTCGACTCAAGTCAATCATGCGATCCCTAATGAATCCGCGGAGTCTTCCGGTGGTCGCCACCACAATATTGGGCCGTTTTCTTCGTAGCAATTCTTCGTCGGTTTGCTGAGGAATGCCTCCAATAAAAAGCGCCACATTTACTCTCATATATTTGGCGAATCGCTCGTATTCTTTGCTGATCTGAAAGGCCAGTTCTCTGGTGCTGACGAGTACTACGACTAGTATGTGATCACTTGAGTCGTCAATTTGCTGGAGAGTGGACAACACGAAGACACAGGTCTTTCCCATCCCCGACTTGGCCTGACATAGGATATCGACTCCCATTATGGCCTGAGGTATGCATTCGTTCTGCACTTCACTCGGATTTTCAAACCCGCAGTCATTGATGGCTCGCAATAGTTCTGGTCTCAGAAGAAGATCACGAAAACTATTCTGATATTTAGTGGTCTGTTTGCACTCTTCAGACTTTATTTGTAAATCATTCGTATTGTCTATCTCTTGAGTAGTGGTCACCACTTCCTCCTCTTCTTCATAGTCAAGTAAATCACTCTTTTCATTATTAAAGGGTTCTTCACATCTTTGAAAACTATGGATCGTTTGCAGGTCTCTGTCATCGAGGAGAGCCTCGTTACTGAACAGGTCCTGGTCATCCACTTCATAATCAAGTGATTCAAAGCCTAAACTATAGAAATCTAATGACATTATTATAACAATATATAATTAACTGATATAGACAACTAATTGAATAAAAACATGAATTTAAAAATTAAATAGTCATGGTCGCATTAAAAATGAAATATTATATGAATGAAGTGAATTGAAAAGTGTGGATGAGTTGAACTAAACCTGAAGACTTAAGTCTTAAGTATTTCAAGTCGTTTCAAAGGATTAGTCTGATGTGGTTTTGTTTAAGTTGAATTGCATTATTTGATAATCCCTTAGATTTATTGTGTGTCAGATTAAGCTTAAAATTTTCCATATTATAAAGTTATATTTGATTTTTGAGTCAACGATTAAAAAGTATATTTGATTTCAATTTATGATCATTGAAGAAAATAATCTTAAATACACAAACTATTTATTTATTTTATTTTGTATGACATTGAAATGATTACAAACCTACTGTATGTGATCTCTTATATTACTACGAGAATACTAAACAGAAAGTTTGTAAAGTTGGTGATAAAAATGTCATTTTTCATTAAATTTAACAGTAAAGTGAAACATCTCCATTAGACTATCAATAGGAACTATTAAATAGGAAATATATGAGAATTTCCAAATGACTCTGATATAAAGAAAATCTTATATACAGTAATTTAGGGTAAAGACTAGAATTATGTATTTTATCTTATTTTATACAATATTATTAATATTTGAAAATAATAGAAAATTACTTATTTTTAATTACTGTAATACATAGCTGTATAGGTATATATTATTTAGTTTTTACAAAAAGTATAAAATAGGTTATTTATTAGTATTAATACAGAATATTAATATAAGTTATAATTTGTAATAATTTGTAATAAATAATAGCAAAATAAATAAAATGAATTTCAATATTAGAGATGCAACTGAAAGTGATTTGAATGCAATTAATGAGATCTATAACTACTATGTATTGGAATCGACGGCAACCGCAGAGAAAACACTTAATCATATAAATGAGAGAATTGAATAATTTAATGGGTTAATGGTGAAGGGGTTACCTGTTATTGTGGCGGAATCTAATGGTGCGGTCATAGGTTGAGGTTGTCTTTGTAGGTTTGTCCACAGAAGTGGCTTTCGTTATTGTATTGAAAATTCTATTTATATACATAAAACTCATTTCTCTAATGGCATCTGAATGGCTATTATGGATGAATTAATCATAAGAAGTAAAGCTCTTGGATTCAAATGTTACCTTCAAATTCAATCGATTCTTGTGTGTTGTGATTATGCAAAAGTTTTTATGAATTGTTACATATTAAATAATACATTCTCTAATTAAACAACTATTTACGAATACAATTTTATTTATATTTTTCATAATTCTTATATTTTTATTGTATTATTTAATAAACCTATGAAATGATAATGAGATATATTACGTTTTAATTAGCAAACTTAAAATTTTTATTAAAAATATAATAACTTATAATAAGATTCTTGAATTTTGAATCAATGATTTGAAAGAGTAAGCTTATTTAAATTAAATTAAAAATCATTGAAGTATACTGATCAGTACATTACAGTATCTTAAATAAACAAATAATATTTTAAGTGACATTGAAATGATTACAAAACTACAGTATTTGATTTAAGTTTTTGTATATTTTAACAGTAAAGTCTTGTAAAAATGTTTATTTTTTAATTACAGTGAAACAACTCTATTGTGTACACTATAATAGGAAAGGTGTGAGTATTGAGTATAAGAAATATTCTATATTAAGACAATAATTAAAGAACATTAGATGATAAATTAAAATATCTGTATAATTTATGTGTCATTTAATTTTCACATACTGTTGTACATTATTTAGTGAAAGCACTGGAAGTGTATAACCTTAATATACTAAATTCTGGAGATTATTATTATTATTTTACTCATTATTTTAGATTTTGTTATATAAATTATGTGTTAATAACTTATTTTCAAACAAATTAACAACAAATAGTAATATGAATTTTAATATCCGAGACGCGACTGAAAATGATTTGAAAGCTATTAACGATATTTACAACT